CAATATCAAGCAGACAAGTGATGAGAATAAAGAAAAATATCAATTAGGGATTATTAGTTGATCGAATACCAAATGCTCCGAACTAACATCAGAAGATTTATATGGCAGACAGTGAGGAGAATTACTAATGATATCTTGGGAGTTAAAGGGTTAAGGAATAGAGAGAAGCACTTATGTAGTATACCTAGAATTAGATAACTCACAAAAATAGGTTCTTTTCAACATGGTAAGCGGTCAGATAACAAGCAATGCACTGTGAAAGTAAGGTGAGTTATTTTCATTCATTGAGAATTTGAATGGATTTTTTCACCCCTAGGAGCGGTTGTAAACATTCCAATACAAACTCTTATAACTTCGCCATGACTCTTATTTCGCGAAATGATCATCTCACAGCTGGAGCTTGGGCCGCCTATGGTATAGTAAATAACTTATCAGTCGTTTTGGTGTGTAGCATCGCTGAGTGTTTTAAATCGTTGTCTGGTTTGTCACTCCCCCTTCGGGCTCGTCAAAATACCGCCCAGCGAGTGAATTTAGGTCGCTGGTGCACCAGGCAAATTTTTGTTTATTTTGCGAAACGATTAGAATGTCACTAACAGCAGGAATGGGGAATGGGGAATGGGAAAATAAAATGTTAAATAGAAAAAAGGAAAATTAACCTTTTTTTTCAATTTTTTATATTTACTGATATTTTTCATCGATATCAACGTTCTCTATCAACAACGTTCAAAATTCAAAGAACGAAATAAATTGATGAAAAGGAAAGAAATGAGCTTCGAGGAACAGGTAATGTTCAAAGACAAATATACGAGCACATTTTCGCGTAGAATAGGGGCTATTATGTTTCTCATCCTTCAAATATTTTGCAGCGCGTGATAAGATACTTACCAACAGCTCACTGTTTTCTGCGTGGGATGTATTCTTATCGGTGTTCTCTGGTACTACTCTATGAACAAACAAATATTTCTCATTTTATGTAATATTTGCATTATCGTAGTGAACGTAAAATTTGAAAATTGGACAGTGTAACTTAGGTGATATCCTCGGATATTCCCCTGTCTTAGCTGGGGAATATTTGTTAACGTGATGCCTTAAGACCAGTCGCGCGAGCAAAAATATTGCATGGATCATAATCGAGGATATACCACAAGTGATATTCCCTAATTTTCAGGGTCTAGGTCCCCTTACAATAACTCTTTCTTTAAAATTAATTTAAAACGAGAGAGCGTTTTGTGGTATCTTAATTAAAAGAGAGAACATGTTTATTTGTTCATGAAATTGTACCAAAGAACATTGAAAAGTGAACATCCCACTCAGTGAATGGTTAGCTGTTCGTTAACAGTTTTTACCGGCAATTTGCAAAAATATTTTAGAGAAAACAAACAAAATCAAATAGCCTCCATTTGGTGCAGAAATACGCTCGTTCGTTCACACTTTAAATTCGATATTGCTCATGTTTGCGGGAAACCTTTAAAAGTTCAGGAGTCGGCTGCACAATCGCCACCAACATTCATGCAAATTTTCGCTTGAAACCTAATAGATTCGATATCTGCTGGAAGCGCCTTATGGTCATGAAATTATTCTTTGATATGCTTTTTTAGTTTCGCTGCAGCCGCTAGCTTGAAAAGTGTGGCGAGTGCTTTGTCTTGATCGAAATTTTTTTTACCAAGCAAACCACCATTACTTTCGAAAAATAAAATGAAAACTATTGAAGAAATGTAAAATGGTTTCCGTGTTTACATCAGGCTATGTGTCTTGTTGAAATCAAATAAGTTGTGAACATTTGTAGCCTACGAAACAAAGATTTATTTCAAAACGAATAGAAAAAGATTATTTTCGTCCCCTAGACTGAAAATCAGAAAGTTATTAAGAGATAACATGTTAATCAAGAGCCGCAGTTTCTAATACTTGTCTTGAAAATTCCTCCCACGCACTTATACAGCGCTTTTCTAAAAACGATGACGTAAACATCGAACTTTGAAAGTTGCAATGTTTACAGTTGAAGTTGTCTGTGGGAAACCCTCATGCACCATTTTTGTTGGGCGCACAACAAAGATAGCGCATGAATTGAAGACAGATAAAGGGATTCTTCAGTTAAAAAAAGGAGAAAAAGAAACGATCACGAAAGAAAACATAGGGTGCAGGGATCTGAAGGAAAATATTCGTACCACATATCAGAAAGTCAAGCTTCGAGCGGGTCTCTCCCTTATAACAATCATGTGGGTTTAATTAAGATGTAATGTAAACAAACATAATAAATTCGACTAACCGCGGACAAACTCACCTACGTTAGCTTGAAATATGTTTCGTTTGTCTAAATCTTTTGCCCTCTAATCGTTGAAGTGGGAGGACGTATCGCGTTCACATTGAAACTTTGCCGAAGTGAACGAATTCAGAGGACGTATAGCGTTCACATCGAAACTTTACCTGGGTGAACGAATTGATGTCGATGCAAATATGCAAATTTGAAAATGAAACTGATAGTGTGGAAAAGCTACAACTTATACTTAAAATTACTAAAGTGGTCCCTGTATTAACGGCGGGCGACCCATCCTTGATTAAAAATTACAGACCAATTTCAATACTTCCTGCTTTTTCGAATAATTTTGAAATAATTGTATATAATTGTATCTCAAGGTACCTTACTGAAAATACGATCTTGTCTAACAACTGGTTTTGCGTGAGAGATAATAAATGTTAACTTTTTTTAGCCCAAGATACCAGAATTTTTTACCAAAACCGAAATCTTAAAATTCTTATGGATTACCTCAACGATGAAATTAGTCATGTTGCGACTTGGATTAAAGCTAACAAGTTGTTCATTAAAGAGAAAAAAACAAAGATCATGATTTTTAGAACTAAACAAAAATTTCTAGCGACACGCCTTCTCAAAATTGGTAACACAATTATTGAGGATTTTAATGTGTTTACAGGCAGCATCTAGCGTGGAAAATACATATTGACTACATTTGTACAAACATTTCTAAAACAATAGGAATGTTATATGAAACAAGGTTTCATCTACTTAGAAAATCTCTTCTTCTGTTGCCTTATTCTTCAGCCTCTTGCGATTCTCTGTCCTGGTTCGTTTGAAGTTGTTCCCGCCCAAGTTCACGCTGTTCTCTTTCCCGTCTTCCCCTGTTTATTTGGACCGTTGCTCTGGCTACTCCTTGCTCCTGTGCAAGAGGACTGTTGTTCGTGGACTCTAAAGACTCAACATTCCAAGGTCTTATTTTCAGTGCAGACAATACAAGCAAAGTTGAAGCTTGCGAATTCGTTGGGAACACTTCGGCCGAAGGGGAACCATCTAAAAACGTGTCGGTAGCAGTGTTGTTTGACATGGCAATCTGGATAAATGAAACAAAATACGACAATTTGTAAAAATGTTTATTGCATGGCTAGCTCCTAAGGCGGGCCATATCATATATTAAAGTGTGAACTTTAATATATGATACAGAATCATTTTACTCGCTTAGAATGCTCGATTTGATGCCTCATAAAGCTGAGCTGTTTATTTTTTTCAGTACAAAAAATTTGGTAATATTCTATCTGTAAAGATATCGCAAAACACCTATATGGGTCAGCCGTGACAACGAAAACAATTATCACGATCTTCGTGAGTTTATTTTGTAATTCTCTGAAGTATCTTTTTGTCATACAGGAAATCAACTTTGAGTAAGCTTGTGATATAAAATTTTTCTAGATCATTTGGTGTCAGTTTTCTCCAATTTTTATGTCGAAGTAAATGAAAGCTGCGATCTCAGCATCAATTTTGGTGATCGAGAATGACTTTTACGACGCCCTTCCTGCCCCAGCAGACCCACCACTTAGTCCCAGAAAAGCAATATTAAATCCTCTCCTCATCTTAAAGCTATGCTGTAGTCAGTCTTTCTTACCTCTGTCCCCATCCCTGAGTCTTGGCCATGGCGGAAGCCATTTTGATTACGAGAAAGCAGTTCCAAGCGTAAGGTAGGGTCTGTAGTGTGTCTGGCCACGAAGAAGTCTGTCAAACCGTAAGCTTCGTTTTCCATGATACAATTATTTACAACTTAGGGAAACCAATGCTGTATAAACAGAAAGCATAGTGGGAAAAATTACAAGTAAATGGATATAGTTTTCCGGGTACATTCAGTGCACTCGTGAATCAAGTTCCACCATTTGCAGTCGAACGATTGATTTCGACTCTCCGGTTCTCGCATCCAGTAGTCGAGAGTCAGGAACTGCCCCCTTCAGCCTCCGCCACAACTCCACATACAAATCCGATTCAGAATTTTAACTACGTCCGGGAAAATGGATAGGGAGCACTAAAGCGTTCTTCGTTATGTTAGTTAATTCATAAAAATCATGTCGTTGTAAGCATACTTACATGCCATTCCATATCATTGCAACGGCATACTCTCTACGAACCTTTGTGAGCATGGCAGGATTTGACAACCGCTGGACGAACAAGACAGAGAGTAATTGGCCTGCTTATGTGGGAATGAAGAATACTGATGCTAACTTAAGGGCAAGAGCAAACTTTAAAAAGGGAGGGAAACCTTCATATATACGCGCATGAAACTATCTACTGCCAATGGTTTTGGCTCATTTGCCTCAGTAGAATCGTCTTCAAAAGAAATGCGAGTAATGGTGGAAATTTTTGCAACAACGAAATTTTAATGCGAGGAGTAAGTCATTACCTCCAAACAGAGCCAGCGCTCGTCATGTCCTGAATTTTCTCGGGAAGAATGTCTTCCTTCCAGCCGTTTGTCCAGACAGACGTTAAACACATCACAGTGGAAGGAACGGTCTTTGAAGATGTTAAAAAAGCTATCTTGTTTTATCTCTAGGAGATTCCTGTGAGCAATTTGAAGGCTTCTCTCAGCCATTTCCAAATTACCTCGTTAAAAAAGATCCAAAGATTGTTGGAGGTGGTTAGCAGTGTCTAGTCTTACTGATAAGTCATCAGTGCAATCCGAGCTATGTCTATCGTGGTGTTCTCCTCACATATTAATGCCACTGGAGAATAGTACACTCTCCATACTCGGTTACCAGTACTCCGGTCTTCTGTCCTTCGCTCTGAAACGCTCGAAACGTCAGCTTTAAACACTATTTACGGTAGCCAATCCAAATTATCAACTCAAGTGATCAAACCAAATTATCTTCTTGCAGTACCTATTCGTGAAAAAGAAAAAATCTTAAAACCTCCAAAGGATATCCAAAGACAGGTAAATAATCAAGCACGGTCATGAAAAGTTTTCTCTTCACTTCTTAGGCGCATTATGGAATGCAGTCCAATGTGTGCTTTTTGTTCAATTGACTCCGGATAGTGGTTAAAATAATTTTAAACGCAACGGATTTATGACGATTTGCTTTAAGCGAGTATCATATCATTAATTATGTTCAGAAATGCATGCAAAATCCACCGAGCTGATTTCGCTTTGAGGAGCTTGAACTAAATTCGCCAAAATCGTTAAATCCATGTACATTCACTTGGTTTTAAGACGTTTTGTCAAATCTGCAATTTTCTTTACTGCGTGCATTCCTGGACATAAGTGGACACACTTGCGACTCTAGAAAACCTAGGAGAGCTCATGAATAACGATTATACGAGGATGCAATAATCTACGTGTTTGAGTTCACTCCTTTAAAAGCAGCTGTTAGTCATAGTCAGAGTCGCTCAACGAAATTTCTTATTTTGCCGATTTAATAGTAGCTTTCGATTCATAGTCAATTTCGAGTTTCTTGGCATTATCAGACAAACGATTTTCAGGACAAAAATCGCTCATTTTTTGTGCACTTCTAAAACTCAGCGGGGCGGAAATTATTCGTAACTGATGTAAATGCAAATGATGCTCGCGTACACGAACAAACACTTATAAACTACAAAAATTTAAATTGCGTTTAGCTTTTATTCCTGGAGCAGCACTTATCAGCTTCAACCTACCCATGAGATTCACGTTTCAAATCAATTCAAAATCAATTCAAATCCTTCTTGCCCCCGAAGAATACTCTAAGTTAGATAAATAAAATGTTTTTCCACGAACAGCACCCTAGATGTTCCGAAAACATAAAATCAATTCAACATTGTAGCTAAATAACGTTTAAACGAATGATACTATCGAACAGAATACACTCTTCGCTCCTCAAGCTCGACATCATTAACGTAGAGAAACATAGAGAAACCAATTCCTATCGTGACGAAATTTTCGCTGTCGAGCCTAAAGCTGCAAAATTTCTAATGTCATTTTTTAAATGAAGAAAAATTACCATATGCACAATTTCTTCTCATGTTGTTGGTAAGCCAGAGTTATAGTAGAAAATGAAACATCTATTTGTTCTTGTTTCCAAAAGCCAAGCCAACGTGGTTACAAGTACTCTCTTGAAGAAAGGCAACTGCTGTTTTCACTGGGAAATTCTGAAAGTGAAATTATGCTACCATGTAGTTACGATCGCAACAGGCATTTCCCTATGTATGCTCTCGACCAACCAGAGTTTTCACAGTAAGTCTGAAGTATAACTTTGTAAATTTGCCACTTTAAAGAGCTTCTAAAGCTGACGTTTCGAGCGTAAACCCTGCGTCAGAGCGCCATTCGCTCACAAAAAGTACATACAAAGGCTGAGCGGCGGGTGGTTATTTTGTTTCTTGTCGCCGCTCATACTTGCGTCTCTACCGCATACACTTTCGCTATGCGCCCGAAAAACCGGAAGTGGATATAAGGTCTATTAGAATTTTACAAAAAATAGAAAACGCACCGCTAATCATGGGGATGGCGTAAATTTCAGTTGCATCGTGAAAATAAAAGGTAATTGTGATTTTCTTTAAACCCACTTCTTGGCGGTACGATCATTGCAAGTTTTAGGGAAGGGGACACCACAATAAGTCCTCCGAGAAACATTTTTTTTCCCGTTTGTCAGCCAACAAACGACGACAGTATGAAAATTTAAAAGATATTATACGAAGCCCGATTTGTCACTTCTCTCGAAGTTACCCCACGCAAGTGCCACGAATATTTAATAAATACACGAATTGTTTGATTCATGTAAATTTATATTTTTCACATTTAACTGCAAAACCGTGAGTTTTATTATCAAGCGATTCCTTCTGTTCTTAAATTTCTTTTGCATTTCAAAATGGACACATACTTTTTATTCTGTGTTTAAATTTGTATTTCGTTTCTGCAAGAGTTCTGTCCTCCGGCTAAGGAGTCTCGTTCAAGGGAATACGTGCAGGACAGCACTTACTATTCATACTTACCTAAATTTAACACTTACCACAAATCGGCTTTGACCTTCTGGCATACCAGAATGCCGCCATTTACGGATTAAAGTATCTGATGGTCCATTCAGTTTTTTCGAAATTATTTTTTCAGCGCAATTGTACAAGCCTTTTCGTACATAACTGCTGCGGAACACAGCTATGACAAAGGCTGCAAAACAGCAGGCTTCCTCGATGTGTCAAATCAAAAATAAACACGCAAAAGCGATAGGCTGCTTATGTCAAACATGATATGACTCACAGGATAGGCAGTCATGAAGACAAAGCCAAGTTTACTTTGCAGCATGAATACTTTTGAAGGCTTAATGGATATGTGCATGGAGACGAAATGATGAACATTAACGAACTTCGCCCTCAGGATAGTGGATGGAATGGAGGGATTGGGTGAGTTTGTTTCTGCGCACTTGTGCAGATGTAGACCACAAACATTTTTAATCTTCGGACGTTTATATTTCTTTTCATGCGTTAAATGACAAAGTACATCTGGCTGGGAAAACAGAGCCTGCTTATGTTTCTTAATCTGATCTACTTTGGTGGACCCACTACAATGACGTCAGGCCGTGTGTACACTCTGATTGTGTTGCATCATAATCGTAACACAAAAAAAAAGAATCATTCGCATTCTATCGTGGTGGAGTGAACATCATCTTTGGTGGCAACGAGGTAGCGTGAATATAAGTTGAATGTAATGAAGATTCGCTGTCTGTTAACGTCAATGACGTCAGGCCGTGTGTACACTCTGATTGTGTTCCATCATAATCGTAACACAAAAAATGAATCATTTACATTCTATCGTGGTGGAGTGAACATCATCTTTGGTGGCAACGAGGTAGCGTGAATATAAGTGGAATGTAATGAAGATTCACTGTCTGTTGCCGTTCGTTTGAAAGTTAAAAAGTGTTTACGGGCCTGCGCGACGCCTAGAAAAGTGAGTAATTTTGCGTGTTAGTCAAGACAGGAATTTTAAGTACGAAAAATGACATTGGCCTACCAAAATAGTTTCATTCAATGATTTCCATTGGAACCTCAGTAAAACAGCAGACCCCGAAAAACTGCAAAAGTATTCTATCTCACCCCCACGACTCAGAACAGATATAAAAAAAATTCTGACAAAATCGTACAATTTCTGCTGTTCGTGGTTTTCACTCGTCTTCATAGCAGTCCAAAAGTGTAGGATTTTCACTCAAACAGTGAACAACATCAAAGATATGCCTTATGAACCACTGCTTCCCTTGGGGGTCATCTTTCGTAATACATTAACATTGTACTTTTTACTTTGATGATGACTAAATTCAGTCGAAATCGTTTGATAGTATTTTGTTAAACGCCTTGGTCAGAATTTTTTATAATTTTTTTTTTTAATATAAACGAATTATGTCATGTTAATTTACAAATGATAGCCTACCTGAAATAATTCACGGCCGTGAAATACACGTTTAGTCGAATTTATATTTGTAATGATGAGATCGCCTTTATTCACCAGGAAATAACGATCGAGATTTTTTTACTAATTGTAAACTCCCGCCCAAGGCTTCTCGGTTTTAAAAATTGCAGTATTTTCATTACATAAACTAGCCCTCTAAAATTAGATCGATTTTTGGTCGATGAATAGCCTGCTCAGTGCACGGTGGTTGATAGATAAAAGATATTCAATCAGGGGAATCCCCTACTTTAATTTCAAGTGCAGTTTTACCATTGTTATGAAGACTTCGATAATATCCATTGGATTTTTAATTGTGTTAATTCCAGTCACACAAAACCTTTCGATAAACAAAAACTGTCGATATTTCGACCGATGAAGGCTTAAAAAAATCAACGAAACAAATAAGATAGAAACGACAAAGACAAAACTAGAGTCTGGACCTGTCGTCAAATGGAAGGAGCTGATCAAAATTTTTTTGCGCCTAATTTATTAAAATTAAACGAGATTGCTTGTGTAACTTCATATGTATTTAACGAGTGAGTAAAAGCCCCGAGATCATGCGCTTAGTCGGAACATCGTTACCGAGACCCAAATATTTTCTAGTCCGGCCAAACCAAACCAAATTCAGTCAATCCTTATTACATCATA